CTCTCTCTCTCTCTCTCTCTCTCTCTCTCTCTCCCCTCCCTTCCTCTCTGAAATCAATAAAAATATATATTATAAAAAAAAAATTTTGAGGACTGTGGCTTTTATTCTGAATTAGAGAGCCACCAAAGACTTCTGATTTATTTAAATGGGAATACCCTGACTGTTATACTAAAACAACAAAAACATACACACAGACTGATAACTGTAGCTACAAAGAACTTGTTATAGGCAGTCAGATTCAGATTCTATATTTTGAACATAGAACCAAGATTTCCCAACAACCTGAATATGAAAGACAATATTGAAGTAATTATTATTTTTTACCTAACAACTGGAACAGAAGTCTATCCGCTGAAATCGGGAAGACTGGATAGAAGAAATTTGAGGGGCAAGGTCAGGAATTCAGTATGGACATTTCAAGTTGGAGATGTCTATCAGACCACCAAGTAGAGATGCACGTGAACAGATATAAATTTGGGAACGGTTGGCATATAGATGTTGTGGAAACCAGGAGGCCAGATGAGTTCAGAAATGAAGTTGGCACAGCCTGACCCCTGGTGTATCCCTATTTTAGGGGCGGAGGAGGAAAGGAGGAACCAGTAAAAGAGACTGAGAAAGAGCTACCAGTGAGGTGGGAAGAATATGAGGAAAGAGCAGTGACCTCAAAGTCAAGTAAAGAGACAGAACAGAAGTACAGTGAGTGAGTCAACAGGAAAGGGAGGACCGAAAAGAAACCACTAATCACAACCCAACTGACAATAACAAGCAGATATCACAAGTCACAATGAGGGGCATGTAAGGGGCTCAGGATGGCTTACTTACTGGAGGAGAAAGAGGGTGCATAAAGTAATTGTTAAGAGGCTTTCATTATTGTAAAAGTGTTGGTTTATATATACCAAAACATAGACATTAATGTTTTCCATCTCGATGCAAGCAGGGCTGGCTATATAATCTGCAGAGCCCTGTGAGAAGTGTAATCACGGGTGCCTGGCCCAATAGTACTCAGAATTTAAAGATGGAGGCAGCAGAGCAGGAAGCCAAGTGCAGGGCCCTTCTAAGAGCAAAGCCCTGCATGACCTTGATTGCATGGAACACACCCATGAAGCTGTCCCCTAGACGCAAGGCATCTGACCTAGAACAGAAATGTTGCTGGTACATCAGGCTTCCTTAGCTTTAGGTTTCACAAAAGCACTGTTCATTGAAGAATATAAGCAGGAAAAAAATTGATATCAACGTAAGGAGAATCTGTTAGAATGCAATTTCCTTTTTCCCCTAAGTTGCTTTCAAAGCTAAATCAGCATATATGGATCTGAAGTCATAAAACGACAGCAAAAAAGGGGCTGAAGAGTCATTAAATTCCATAGCACTAATAAAACCACATGAGAAAGGGGAAGAAAACAGGCTTATTTTTCATTGGTATGCAGATGAAATGTTTTTTTAAAATCTCCCTTCACAGTGCTTTAGAAATTTTGGTCAATGTCCCTAAATGAATATATAATATATAAATTTATTTTGGTTCCATTCTATTGGCATAAAAAAATGATGCCTCAATCAGAATACTAAGTATGAATGCTAAAACTAAGATAGAAAACTTCCAGCTTCTTATAGTAATAAAACAATATTATTTCTTCCATTTTGAAAATACATGCATGCATAAATGTATTTGTTTATCCAGATGATATGTTCAGTCTTATTCTACATGTAATCAAAAAGGGAGATGAGCAACACCTCTATTGCATACTCCAATTCATACCGTGGCAAATTTGGAGGATTTTTCTGCCAGAAGATTTTGTAAAAATCTGTAGTGTATTCTTATTCCACAGTGTCTTTCTAGCTCAAAGGCCTCTTGCTTTATGGAGCCCTACCCAATCTTCCCAAGTACAAATAATCACGACTCATCTGTGCCTCCCTGGCTTGTGTTCATGCTCACATTACAGAGCTTTTGATAACTACTGTCATTACTTTTTTTCAAACGTATCTCTGTGGCTAGAGGGTGACATCTGTGACAGCAAGAACAGTCATAAACTGATGCATGCCCAGTATCTAGCAATGTATCTGGCAAACATCAGGTGTAACACAGAAGTTTCCTGAATAAAGAAATAAACTGAGATAAATGAAATTGTCTCTGGGCTAAATATGTTCAGAGGCAGTTTGTTAGGAATTGGCTGTAGCCATTAGACTACTTTGATTCTCCCTCTAGACTTGGATAAACCCTTTGAGGTGAGGATCCAATTATACCTATCAGGTTCAGGTGACAGACTAGACTGCACACAACTAAATGGGAGTATGGCAGGTAGGTGCAGGCTCACTTAGAGAACTGCTACTTCTCTTTACTAACTTTATGGGGCCATGCATTTCATGTTTGATGAGAAGGAAGTCAACATAGGTAGCAAAGTAGGAGGGGGACTTGGAAATTAATTTTAAGCAATTTTACCAAGAGGTGAATTTCTCATATTAACTAGCCTCATAACCAGCAAGACCTTGAAGTTACAGGTTTGCAGGAGGAGTCCCAGATTGCTTTACCAGGGGAAACGCACACACCCACACACATTAAATTTTATGGTGAGGTGTTGCTATTTTAAAGATAATGTTCAAGTTCATCATTTTAATAAGCAAGTTTGCTTGTGTATCTTGGTAATTCAGTTTAAGGCCCTAATGTCCTGACTCTTATGAGATTTGAATATAAGAATTACATTGGGTTAAACAAAGGTCAGAAGATTCCTAAGGGAATGGACAAACCAACAAGAAATTTTACCTGAACCATACACTTTCAATGATTCTTAGTGGTTTCCTTTTCTAAACTCAATCATGCACTCTATTGGAGAAAGGGTGTTAGAGTTCTGATGAACGGCCCCACATAACTTAATAGTCACATTGGTATGAAAACGAAGTGAAACCCATTCAGCTCATAATCTCTAGATGTTCTAATTTGGCATTGAGAGATTATGTCAAATTAATTCTACTTCTCTAAATAGTGTTGTGTGGTTCAAAATAAAGTAATTCAGACAGTTACCTGTTAAAATGGATGAAATCCTTGCCCTTTTACCTAAAACAAACTGCTCCACTTGTACATTGGATCCACCCGTCACTGTTCCTGGATGGTACCCTCCCCCCCTGCGTCACTGACTTTTCCCACTTTACAGAATCATTCCCATCAGCAAGGAAGCATGTTCAATCAGTCCCCACCCTTATAAAACCATTACAGCAGTCCTCCCTTATCCACTGTTTCACTTTCCAGTGTTTCACTTTAACTGGAGTCAACTGCAGTTTGAAAATATTAAATGGAAAATTTCAGAAATAACTAATTCAAGTTTGAGTTATTTCTCTATCATATTCTCTTTTTAAGTAGAAAGAGAAAGTTTGCCCAAATGGTCATTTGAATAACCTCATCAGAAGGGTTCAAAATAAAATAAATCTCATGGTCTTATCATTTTGCATTGAAGCAATATATTACATAGATGACACCTTCCTTTAAAGATACATGTGTTGGTGTTTGTCATTTTTTAAATGGGAACAGCATTCTGACATCACATTAAAATGTACATATTTAGAATGAGAACTTGCATTGCATGTGAAGAGAATAAAATATATAGTAGAACAAGCCGATATGTAATATGAGTAATTAGTATGAAGGAATAAATAAATGAATAAAAAGTTAATAAGGCAAAGAACTTAATACAAGGATCTAAGAATTAATCTGTCAGTTGATAACATTTTAGCATAACTGCTTATCAGTGTAGAAGTACAAATTTGCATAGAGACAATTTCTGTGAGCAGAATGAAAATGTAACTCAAAAAAAAGATCTAACTTCAGAAAAAGAAAACATAAAATGATCTTAAATACTACTACCATTTGCTATAAGACCTAAGTCCATTCTATTTTCTTACTACTTCAAGTCCTTATTTTTTCACTTTCATTTATTATAAACAGTTTGTAATTCTTTATGATTCTATGACTTTTAAATTTCAGATTAACATATAGTAAAAACATCCCCAATATAAGATATTAATATTTTAAAACTATTGAAAAGTTAAATTTTGTAATTACCTGAAAGCAATATTATGCTTTAGATGTCTGTAATGTTTTTTAAACATTACATTTTTCTCTTCATATTTAGAAGAAGAAAAATTAATTTTCATATGAAGAGAAAAATTAATTTGAAACAAATGGAAGCAATTGATACAATTTAAAATAAATGTATAAATACTGAAATTTAGAAGTGGAGGTGGGGGAAATCTGTGATACTTGGTTCAACTGATATTTATCTAGAATTTTATTTTGAGTATTTATTTCACCAAAATCAAAATTAATTTTAAAAGATACCCACCATATGTGGTCAACTTACTTTACAATGATCATACTGGAGCTGTAAGGCTGGAACATCCCCTCCAATAGGCATTTGTTGTTTAAGCTCTTCATCTTTCATATTCAGCCATTTGATCAGTTCTTCCAGGGATATCAGCAACCTGTTCCACTTCTCAGCACTGGCCTCCAAATGGGCCCTGTTGAGGAACAATGCTGACCACATTTAGATGTTTGAAATGCATCCAAAAAAGTATATACTTTCTCTTAGCCTAATAATCTTGTATGACCGACTAAATGTTCATGTCTAAGAAAGAAGCCAACTCTTTGTAAAAAAAACAAAAACAAAAAAAACTAATAATAAAATTATAGTTATTATAATACTATTGACCATGTTCCTTAATAATATATATTATAGATATAATTTCCTGTAAGGAAGTTATTTTGAATTCAGAGTACATGTTGGTACTATCTACCAAAATTATAATGTACACCTCCATACCACAAAAGCGTAAACATGAGGCTTTTAAGAAGAATGTGCACAACATAATGTAAAATTGTAAAACCAAGTTTCTGTAGTTTATGTGAAGTATATATGCACATTCAGAATAATATTTTCTCATTTCATCTATATACATGGAGAGAGGGATAGAGAAGAAAGAAATTATATGTATAAACAATGTTTAGAAAGATGTATACCAGCTGTGGTTACTAGTAAGAACACAGTAAACACCTACTTTTTATGAATTTTTGTAACAACAATATTTACAATAGGCCTATATTACTTTTCTTCCCAACAAAAACTAATTAACTTTTTTAGGAAAGGAAAATGCTAATGTCCTGATTTCTTTTGTAACCAAATAAACTACTGAAAGCAGACCATCACCAACATTTACATCAAAACTTAGAAAACAATAAGGCATTACTTGGACAGAACATTATTTGGGTTAAGGCTGACTGATGTCCAGTGACAAATTTCCAGTGTGAATGAAAACAACCGAGCAGAAATCACTGATTGTAGTAGTTTATAGTCTGCTTTAAGGGAAGTCTTTTTTTTAATAATAATTTCTATTTTTCACACAGAAGAGTACATTCAGATACTTAAATTATGAACTTCACAATCAGAAAACCAGGTTTAGAAAATACATTTTTATGTGATGAAGGCTCCAATAACAGCCAAGGCCTTTGAAAATAGAAATGCAAAGAACAAATTTGTTCGTTGTTCCCATAAGGGTCTTGGAGAAAACCCACGTATCCAGTCTCCAGCCCGCAGTACATGGGCTGGATTTGAAAAGACAGATCCATCAGAAACAACTGCAGAGACTCAAGGAATCAGCATTTAGTCAATCCTGCTTCACCCCAGTGGACAGACTGTGAATGTGGACTTAAGCACTAATCTGCGTGAAATGGAATTACCTTGACCTTTCAGATCAAAAGGGCAAGGCTGATAGAGACAGACGTAAGCCTTGTTCCCCAATAGTTTGCAAGACTAAGCATTTAGGATGAGAAAAGATTTGGGGCAACACCAGGTGCAAGAAACCTCTGTTGATCAGGTTTCATATCCTCTCAGACAGCAATTCTCACCTTGACATTGGCATTAGGATTGCCCCTTCCACAAAGCTGCTTTTTTACTGAGAGATACTAGACATGGCCACTACTGTCCCTCAGACCTACCAGTGACTTCCTTTTTTGGACATCTGATCTACTTGAGGCTCTGTCTTAAAGCTGAATTATCTGTTCTAGATAATTCAAACAGATATTTCCCCATTGATCACATTAGGTGGTACTCCCAGAAACAGATCAACAATATCGTTTCTTTGTTTAAAAAGTTCATAATCTTTTCAGAACTATAAGTTATTGATCTCTAGCTCATCTCCAGTTCATAAAATCATGACTGTAGTTCATCGGGCAATATTATTGTTTAAAAGAAAAATTTCTCTAAAATAGTATGAAACAGCATTCAGTCACATACAAAAAGCCAATTGTCCTGTGATCTATTTTTAGTTCCACTGTCTACTGGCTAATAGGAAAAGAATTAACATTATATGTCTTATTCAAAAGAGCTAGGTATAAAATAATTTAAAAAATAAAATTTAAATACAGAAAGAAGTTTATGGTATTTTTATAGTTCTGTGAGAATTGTATGATTAAAAATTTTATTTTATTCTCTTGCATTTACAATCTTTTCTATTCATTCCATAGGTGCTATAATTGACCTCACTTTACAAAATTGTTCCTTTCTTTGAGTCGCCTCTTTTTCATATTTATCTTTTTAAAAGTTAGTTTTTAATTATAGTTGACATACATTATTATATTAGTTTCAGATGTAAAACACAGTGCTTAGACATTTATATACCTTACAAAGTGATCAATCTGACAGGCCTACTACCCACCTGACACCATGCACAGTTATTACAACACTATTGACTATATTCCCTATGCTGTATAAAATTGCTCTTTAATGAGATTCCAATTCTGCTCGAGTGCTAGCTTTTCTGTGTTCATATTGATTAATTTTAGGCCAAATATGTAATTACCTATCTCTGATAAATAATGATTTTACCTGTCACAGAGCAGAACTAAATTATTTCAATTATATTAACTGAAAACCTCTCTTGCCATAAGTACGTTTGACTGATGTGATGCAATTTCTTGCCAGTATTTTTAAGTATAATTTTTTTTAAAAAGACCATCATAAACCAGAGTAGAAATCAGAGGTCCTCAGTAAATCAAGAAGTGTTTGACACTCTGTGTGCAAAACACATACGCACATACCCTGACCTCTTATTTTAGATTATTTGATCCTGCATCTTCAATGTCTGTAGTTAACTCTTTAATCAATAACAAACCAGACATTCCTTTGATTTCCAGTTACACACTCATTGTATTGAAGAGCATGCAAATGCCTTTTTCAATGCAATTAACTCTCTTCACTGAATAGAAATAATAAAATTGATCAAGGAAATCTATGGCACTCAGCTCCTGAAGAACTATTTATAAAGAAGAAGACAATACTTTTATAAAAGATATTAAAGTGACTTTGAAATTTAAAAAGTCAACATTAGTATATGTACTTCTCTGCATCTTTCTTTTTCCATAGTAAAAAGCAACCTGATCTGGCAGAATCTTTGCCTGGAAAATCTGTTTTGGTTGTTCTCCAATGGACTATAACTGTGTTTAGTGGATTGCTACCATATGCCCAAATAAATGCATGCTTCCGTAGTAGCCTTCAGTGTTCTAGTTTCAATTTAATTCTTTCATCTTACAAGATGAAAGCTTTTTCTTGGGCAATGGGTTGAATGCTTTGCAAGAAGAAACCTTAAATTTGTGTATGAGGTTAATTGTACTTTCTCAATTTGTTTCTAGACACTTTAAAGCTTACATTCCCCCAAGACTTTAGAACCAGTCATCAATCATGTTTTCAGAATCTTCACGTACAACATTTTTTTTTTATTTGACACATATCTGTGGGCACTTACATTATAGATAATTGACTCATTATCCTAACTCTCACCTGCTTCAGTTCATTCTTTGGTCACCTGACAGGGGCAAAATAATAAATACTTTCACTGAATGAAAGTCTTTATCAACCTAGGATGATGTCTACTAAATAATATGCTTTATAAAAATTCCCTCTTTTTAGACTGAATAATTTAATTTACAGCTGACTAAACATTTGTAAATGACAAATTACTTATAAAAATATGCAAAAAGTTTTTAGAAGGTAAAGATTCATAAAAATGATAATTACCTAAGTATACAAGTTATCCCAAAATATATATAAACACTTCAACAGCTGATAGCTCAATTGATGTTTATTTCTTATCATATTTAACCCACTGGAATTAATAAATTATTCAAAGTGTGTATACATTTTTTGGGACACCCTGTAGTAAAGTGTATGCTGCCATTTACTTTATTTTTAATATTTTTATTTTTGAAATACAGTTGACATTAAATATCATATTAATTTCAGATATATAGCATAGTGGTTAGGCATTTATATAACTTATGAAGTGACCCTACCATAAGTCTAGCACCCATCTGATACCTACATACTTATTACAATATTATTGATTATATTCCCAATGCTGTACTTGATATCCAAGAAAAAAAATGACAAAGGGAGGGAGGGAGGGAGGGAGGGAGGGGGAGAGAGAGGAATAAATGATGTATTAATATTTATTTTAAAACACCAGATGCCCCTTCTTTTCAATGTTTTTTTCAAATAAGTTTTTAGTCCTTCTCCCAGTATACAGATATGAAAAAGAAAGGAAACTTTGTGAGTAAGGAGGGGCATTTATTAAAATAAAATAGTTTTTTTTCATTTATTCAATACAAACAAAATTTATGTAGCAACCACTCTGATATCAGGTACTACACTGCTTCAGAAATAGAAACTTCAAAGGTCAAGTTAGCAGAAAGACAAGTAATCCAAATGCACTCTGAAGTAGGAAACCTACCAATTCCAGGAGAGAATTATGGCTGAGAGAAAGAAGTAATGTGTTCAGGAAGCCATGGTGAGACTGTGGAATACAAACTCAAGCCCAAGCTCTTTCCCAGATAGACATGTAGACATATGGAAAGCAGGTCTACCAGAGAGTATATGACCCAACCTAAGAGGAGCAAAGACATACTATCCCCTATTGTGTGAGGACTACAGATTTAGATGTCCAATTTGGCATTCTCACAAAAAATCAAGTTTATTTTTAGTTTATGATTATAACTCATAGATTACAAGTTAAAGTTATAATAAAAGAAAATACCTTTGTTAGTACAAAATCAACCAGTAACATCAAAAGAAGATTATTTCTGCTCCCAGAAAGAATTAAGACCCATTAGGAAAAAAAGTGAAGTCCTCAGAATTCAGTCTGTGCTGAAGGAACACTACAGCTGGGCTTCCAATATGGTCACCACCAACAACATGTGGCGATTTCAATTAAATTTCAGTTAAATAAAATTTGAAATTCAGTTCATCAGTTGCCCTAGCTATGTTTCAAGTGCCAACATGTCACATGTGGCTACTGGCTGCCCTACTGAAGAATGCTGATGTAGACCACTTCCATCACTGCAGAAAGCGTAGGGCCCAGCACCAAACCAGAGAGAAAAAGAAAGAAGAGAGCAGCAGAACTTTCTTCTATTAGACTTGAGAAAAGGAAGTTTTAGTAGTTTTACAACATGCTTAGCAAAATCAGTTACC